GGTAGCCATGATACCAGAGCCTGTCTGTATAATGTCTTGTGACGTCCACGGCCTACCCCAGTTACCACTACTGTGCATGTGTGTCAAGGACAGAAAGGCAGATGTGGCAGTAGAAGGTGTCAAAGCAGTTTGGAGAGAAAAAAAAAACGACTAATCGATTATTAAATTATTCATCGACTATTTTAATAATCGATTAGTTGTCAACTAATCGACTAATCGTGGCAGCCCTATTTAGAGCAAATAAATACTTTCATTGTTTTTGTTTCACTCATCAATAATACACAAATTTTCAGCATTTCTTTGGCTTGAAGATGTTAAACCTAATAAATTAGTTTGTTTGATTTGAGAAGAATCATGCACAAGTTTGACATCAACCAGAAAAGCTTGTTAAAGCATCAGCATATATCTCTGCCTCGTACTTGTAAACTGACACATCTGGATTTCATCTCACCAGATGTGTCTTTATTTTTCTTGCGTACTTTCTGATCCAGCCTGATGTGTTTGATGTTTCCATGTCCTCGGTGTTACTCGGCTTGTTTGGCAGCAGACCAAGTCTTAGCTTGCATGTAACCCGAACGCTCATATTAATATTCATGATTTTAAACTTTTAAATCTGCTCTACTTGGACGGGTAGTTTTACAATTTTACTTAATTACCTGGTTTTGAGATGCCATTAATTAGAGTTCGCCTCCTTGTCTCGCTAAGTTTAGGATTATTGAAAGGCCCATTTTTTTTTCTAACAACATGTTTGAATGCCAATATGTTTTCAGGTATTTTCTGGCTCTGTCATATTCAGCTTCTCTTTTTCTGTAGACCGAGAAAAGTTTAAGTCAAAAACTTTTTATTTTTTTGTCTATATAGGCCTTTTTTTTATCTTTGTTAGGATATTGGATTTTAATTATTAAACATCTAACAAAGAAGAGCGTTTACCATTCTTCATTACTGTTGTATTCACTTGTTCCTCAAATCTGTAAGGCCTTTATTGATGTATAAAAATATTTATCACCTGCTGCAGAAGATGATAGTTATGTGATTATTTGTCTGTTATGTTAGTAAAATATCTCATGAAAAAGTGGACAGATTTTAATGAAATTCTCAAAATAACATTTGGATGTACATTTATAGTAGAGCTGCATGTACATTGCAATAAGAAAAAATACAGGAATTTTCAACAATAACACACAACAGTCATGTTGAAGATGTACCTGTACTGGTCTTACCTCTTTTTTGTGTACCTTACAAGTTTGTTGTTTGTATATGAGAGTTATTTTTGTTATATTTTATTGCTTGCTTTTACTATGCTGGGACCTGAGTACTGCTGCGTTCACACCAAACGTGTGTTGATTGTCAGGTTTACATGCAAAGACTATGGTGGACGCACATCAAGGGCCGTCTGGAAGTAGTGCAGCACATTTTGGAGCATGTTGAGCGTTTGACGCTCTTCCAAAGCATCGGATGCTGGAGATGAAAAATCTGAACTTTTGTAGCTCAGCGCAGAGCATCAACCAGAGAGACTTCGCTTTGTGACGTAGTGAGCATTTTCCGTCATGTCCTGAATAATGTCCGCTAACCTGAGACAGCTGGACAGGAGTTCTCCAGCTGAAATCGAGTGCCTGTAGTCCGTGTCCTGGCAGGAGATGCTGGCACCAATACGGGTCAGCAGCTCATCAAACTGGGCTCGGGACAAAAATAGTTCTGAAAGTGAGCCTCGTCAGCTCGCAGCTCCTGGGTGATGAAACTCACAAAACCCAGAACTCTGAATTATCTAGTGAATTAATTATGAATTCAGCACAATGTGCTCTTGCTCTCAGTAAATAAAGCAAAGCCACTTTCTTAATTTCATCAACCATTGTACAGAGACCGGCAGAAATAAAACAACGAGGAGGCACTTCCTGACGCACATGACCCACGTCCAGAGCCACGTTGAAGAGCGTCTGACTTCAAATCGTCCAACTTGAAATCTTGGATGTGTTTTTGACTCTGAAAACACGTTCAGTGTGAACGCAGCATACGTGTCCATGCGCAAACATGAACTGCGTTTTTCCACTTGACATTTTGCCTCTGTGTCGACCTTCTTGTCTGTTTTCATTACACTATAATAATAGTGTTAAACTGAACGTTATTTTATCTCTTTTCCTTGTTTTTGTCAAGACCCTCATCCTCTTCCTCTCCAGCACAAGAAATCACAGATAGCAGTTCTCAGAAAAACGCTGCCATTATTGTCCCAGAAGCTTTATGACAAAATTAAAGTTCTGTATTTATTTATTTATTTATTTATTTATTTATTTTTACACTAAGCACCCAGAGCCACGTCTGTCGTTGAAAGCAGCTGCAGGCATCATCAAAATAAAAGCATGGTTTTCACATTATTTTAATTTGCTTCCTGCATCCCAGGACCTGCAATGTGACTGTTGCACACACGTACGTCTCCATGCGATTCTAATCATACGGCCCTAATTTATGGCTGTGAAAACTCAGGCAATTTTACAGATAATAAACAAAAGTTTGTTGTGGTAGCTGTGAGTCATCCCCAGCACATAATCTGAGTGATAACCGATTGCACATAGTGTGTGTATGTGTTTTTTTCCCCCACAATAACTAATCGTATGTCACGTATGACTGGAGTCACCCTAATTTAAAGCCGTATTAGCTATCAAAATATATAAAAATGCCAATAAATTCCCACAAATTACTTTTTAGTAATCCCTTGGTGAAAGTGTTAGCTAACTGCAGTGTGTAGCATACTCTCCTCTCATTGGTCAGTCAATGAAACCCTCGCTGATTGGTTGTACGCTAAGCGACAGCGACAAAAGTTCAACATTTTTCAACTTTCATATGTCGTGTCACAAGCTCGCGTGTGCACGTGTACGTGTACGAGAGCGAAATTTCACATGCACTATTTTCGCCGGTCGCTTAGCTGGAGGAGGGCAAGCGATTGTCGCCTCACCGCACAGGCTCCATAGGAAATGAATGGAGAGCGAGCGACGTCGCCTCCCGTGTGTCGAGCCCTTTATAGTGAAATATAAGGAGATAAATATGATAAACCTATATGTTACATTTTCTTTTTAAATTCTTTGTTCAGTCAGACATAATTGATCATGTTTTTCCTTTCAGCTGATCTCTGTTGCAGTATCAGGAAGAACTTACCTTTATTGGATCACACATGCGTGTCCAGCCTGTGATCAGTTCCACTTGTGATTTTCAACAGTTATTTTAACCTCTTTCTTTGTTTTTAGGGAAATTTGAACAAAACGAGTGTTCAGACTTTTCGTCTGTGTGCGTGCACACGAAGCATGCGTGTGTTGTTGCTCTTTGTGCGGCACCACTTGTTGCCTTGGTAACGCCGATTGTCTCTGGTTTGCAGACAGCCAATGGGAACGTGGAGGCCAAAGTGGTGTGTTTTTACCGGCGCAGGGACATCTCCAGCACACTCATCGCTCTGGCAGACAAACATGCAAGTGAGTGTTCGACCATAACCAACCCAATACCCACCAGGCATCAGGAACACGCCAGCCCCGGCACAAAACCTTCTGCTGTGTTTTTCCACTGCAGAGAAGTAACGCTGTAACATTCAGTTGAGACTTAGAAACAGGCCTCTACTTGTCATTCAGCTTGATTGTAAAGCTTGTTCACAGATTTTTATCAAGGAGTAATTCAACATCAAGTCACTTTTCCATTTAAATCAAAAGACCTAGAATTTAAATGGATTTCCAATTTGATTATAGGTAATAGACCCACTCAAAATGCTCCAGATTAATAAAATAAATGGGAAAAAAAATACTTCTTTTAAATAGTTCAAAAATTCTAAAACTGAAAAGTAGTGCATATGAATCCCCCTCTGCTTTGAAACTCAACAATTACTTTCAAAAGCCACACAATTTGTTAAATAAGATCCACCTGTGAGCAGTCAAAAGAGGAAATGTCTCACTGGGCTCAAAATGGCAAAAAAACAGGCCAATTTTCAGTTGCAGTGTCACTGAAATATACAGAAAGTGTTTGACTAGTGAGCTGTTTGATTTTAGAAAATAACCTATTCTCATGTTCATGTTCAATTATAGACAGTTGGCTACAACACAAAGTAAATCAGTCACTGAAAATATAATTCATAAGGCATCAACCTAATGAACAAGCTAACTGTTTGAAACGTACCCATCTGCAGTGTAGATAATCACGGCTCCAGTATGTTGGCTACTCAGGTGATCATGATGCTTTCCCTTCTGACCAAGTCTTCATTTTACTTTCTTTGGTTCGTTTTTCTTAAAATGTAGCCAACTTGGAAAAGTTTACGTCTCGTTTTTCTAGCCTTTTCGACGTGACCGTCTTTCCTTTCCACCATTGCTCTTTGATGTACCTGCTTCATCATCATGTGTGGTTTGCAGACCGATGCTGCTTCAGTAAACAATTCAACCACAAACAATAGAAGCGGTTCTGTCCCCAGCAGTTTGTGTATGTTGTTGCAGATACAAATAAACATTTACGTGGGTAAATAATACAAATATTAGATAATAAAATTCTTTGTCATCTGTTTTTTTAAATCTACGTAATTGATTATTTTCAGTCATTGTTGCAGCACTAATTCAATCTAATCATTTAAATATATTTAAAGCCAAGAATAATAAGAAAAAATGATTTTATATTTTTAAGTTTTTGTGCAAAACTTCGCAACATCCTTTAGACTGAGTTCATAGCTTGGTCTGTTGCGTGGTCTGTCCTCCTTAGATTATTCAGAATAAACACGAAGGCAGCAAGGGGGTAAAGTGAGCTCGCCTCTGACATCCCTTTGAGCCCTCAAGCGAGGTAGAATCAGAGCCGAGCTCAAGCCCAGCAGACCAACTGGTGAAAAAGCAACCCACAGTTCTGTGGCTGAGAAAATGATGACATCAGTGAGCGACTGCAGGATTATAATAACCATCTTCCAAACCGCTCTGCCACCCTCCTACCCCCCATTTTTAACTGAAAATTAAGGATTTTTGAAGTTCATTGCAGGTAAAGGTCCAACATGTATGTTTATAGTTAGTTTAAATATTGAACCACAGGATGGCTAAAGAGAGTTAATTCAGTTTGTTTTGTTTGATACGAGGCAGACGTCAGTGAGCGACTGCAGGATTAATCAGCAGATTTATTACAGAGGGAATATATTAAAGGGGCAATATTATATGTTTCTCAGGCATACATTTAAATACTGTACCATAATAAAGTATCTATGTCATCTTTAGCTGTTATTAAAATGCTGTTTTTATGTTTAAATAGAAAATAAACTTATCTTCTCATCACTTCCTCTTCTAAACGCCTTGAAATTGGCCTCTGTCTCTTTAAGAACCTCCTTCTGCTTCCGTCCCGTCCAATGCGGGGGGTGGGTGGGGTTCGCGCGTGCGCTATGATGCAGTTTACTTGGCATCTGAAAATACATTTCCTCAAAGTTATTTTGAATCTGAAAAGAGCTTCACTGAGTGAGTAGTGGTGTTAAGAGTAGCAGACAGTTTAAGTTTCACATTCGCTTTGCTTTGTTACTGCTGAGAGCCTGCAGGAGTCATGGGCGGGGTGTGTGGAGGGGGTGGGGGTGCTCCGTGATGAGGAAGCTCGGCTTAAAGACACGTCCCAGTGGCCTTCCTGGTCCCCACCTGTCGTTTTGCTCCTCAGCATGGCTTCATAAAAACACTGCAGGATTTCTCAAACATGCATGCATGAATGAGTCAAAGCAAGGCTTTGGGCATGTTTTTTATGAGAGTATAACATTATAACATGATATAAAACTCAAAAAAGTTGATTTTACATGATACTGCCCCTTTAAAGACGACACATTACTGCAACTTTGTTGTTACTTTAAGAATATTTAACCACAGGATCACTAAAGTAAGTTTATTCAGTTTGTTTTTTTTTGATACCAGACAGACGCTGTCACACAATAAATACATCGCGGACCATTAAGCTAAGCTGAGATCTCTATGCCTCTGTTGGTTCCACGCTGCTGGATTCATTTCTGAACGCACACATATGAGCGTGACCTGGCCGGCTTCTCCTGTGATTTATGAATGAACCAAGGGAGCTTAAAGCCGGACTGGGTTGACTTGCTTTTTCACACTCTGAATTTGAATTTAAATTTAAAAGGACCTAATACAAAGTTTTAGATAAAAACTTTATTTTTCACGGTTTAAGTCATTTAAATCTGTCATTTAAACCTTTAAACATGTGCTTTCAGCCCGACTCTAGAAACCCCACCTTCCTGTAGCACTGGTTGGCTAACCAGCAGCCTGACTTGGACTGGGTGTGAAAGTAATGCATCTGTATGGGTCTGAGAGTTTACAAAGTAGTTTGTTTGAGTGCGTGTTTAAATATGAGAGGTTTTATTTTTCAGTGAACCTCACATCATCAGATTGTCAGAGCGTTTGAAAGTTTGTGAAAGACTCGTGCTGTTACAGAAAGTCTAGAATATTTTACGAGTAGAGTGATATCTCTTAAAATGTTTGCTGTGGCAGATGCAGCTCGGTGAAGGAGTGTCCAAACGTTTCAGTCAAGGAGCATACGGTAACGGTATATAAAACTAGCAGCTCTACCCTACATGGGTGTGGGCTACATCCTGTCTGCATTTCTGCCTCACATTTTCTCAGTTTATAAATGTTTTTATGCTTATGTTTGCACAATGTAGGGGTCCATTTATTTCAACTTTGTAATGGATTGGGGCAGAATGGTTTCTTTTATTTGACTGTGCATACAGACCATGTGTCTGTGAGTCATGGATGAAATATTTTGCTTGCAGAGATTCAGAGTTCTGCCTCAGTGAAGCTCTGACTCCAGCATTAGTCCCTCCTCTGAGAGCAGTCAGCTCCTGAGTGGACTGCCTCAGTTGCAAACTTGACCGTTTACCTCCTAGGCCCCTCCTTTTTAGATTTAAGTTTGCCATGACTCAAACCTTTTTTATGTGTAAATTGGAAATGTGACTTCTCCAATAAACAAAGGTCACAATGTTATCAGTGAAATGATGCACATGACAATACTAATTTAAAGTAAAGTTTTAAAGAAGCAAAGTCATGTGTGTACCAGGTCCTGGATTCTGTCAAGATAAGAAAAACAGCCTTTAGTTTCATTAAAGGGGACCTATTATGCAAAATTCACTTTTTAAAGGTTTTTTTTAACTCAACTTTGGGTATGTACTTCTTAAAAAAAAAACAGTCCTAGGACCAAAAAAATGCACCCAGGGTCATATTTACTGTAAATAAATGTATTTTTAATGTATATTAATGACAACTTTTATACTTCAAACATTTTGTGATGTCTCAAGCCGTACGACAACCCACCAGAACTTGCGTTCAGCCCCTCACCTAAAAACCCCGGGGTGAAGCTCCACCTCCTCAGTATAAAAAGCCGTCACAGTGTTGTTGTGCAATGCGCAGTTCAATTCACAACAAGCCTTCCAATAGGGCACTGGGTAGAGTGTTGGACCAGAGAGCAAGAGACCAGGGTTCGAGACAGACACGGACACAATTTAATTATTTATTTTCGTTCGTTATGAACACGTTTTCTCATGTACCTCTATTGTTTAGCTTTATAGCCTATTTGTTCGAGTCTCTGAGGTATTTTGACCGCTGCTGCTCAAATTACCTGCCCTGGCTGGTAACAGCATGCAGAGTGAGCGCAGAGCTCTGACACAGGAGGAGGGGGAGAAAAAATTAAAAAGCTGCGACGGCAACTCTGCCTCTGGAGGGCGGAGTTAATGTCAACATATTTTTGGAGGGCGTTACCAACAGAGCTCATTAACATAAACAGCTTTTCTGAATGGAAGTCAGAGCAGGCAAACCTAGAAAATGGGAAATTTTATTATCTGAGAATTATTTTGTGCATTAAATTGAATGAACATGGTCTGGATAGCCCACAGACATACCATAAAAATTTCTAGGACCCAAAATTGGTCTCCTTTAAGAAAAAATAAATGCTCAGGTTTAATGAAAAATAACACGCCATGCATTTGTGTTTGTTGAAGTACTGTTGGCAAAATATTTCATGAACCACTGGCTGAATTTGAATGAACCTCTCAGAAAGTAATCACTGGATGAGCCTGGAGTCAGTCTAACTCAGAATGCTCACACCTAAAAGCAGCCTTAGCAAAAACAACAATTCCTAATACTCAGTCTGTTTCACAGATATTTTGGTTAAATATTGTGGTAGTAGCTGAGAGTCATCCTCACCACACACTAAACATTATCACAGCATGAATGAAACTTTGTCCCTTCTCTTCACAAGGAACACTTGGCCATTGAATACGGTAACTGCTGATATCTCCCACCACAACCACCACTCTTTTTTAAATTTCTTTAACAATTGGAGCACCATATTGGCACACAGCAATATATAACTTCCAGTTGAGTTGTTGCCAGGTTGTTAAGGTAATAACGGTCAGTTCTGCTCTCCTCACCTCCTTGTGTCACCCTCAGGCCTTCTTTTTCTTCTCCTCTTGCCTCTC